CTACCAGACCATGATACCGCCACCATCAAACTTCACTGTTGTGACAACACACTCGGCTAATAAGCGTTCTCCAGGCATCTTCCATACCCAAACGCATCCATCAGACTGGAAGACCGTGTAGCGTGACTCGTCGCTCCACAGGACCGATTTCCATTGATGCACGACTTCACGGTTCGGTGTGCCTTGCCCCATGCCAATCAAAGTTTTGCGTTTGTTATCAACGGCTTATGGACTGCAGATCTTCCGTGAAAACTCATGGCATGCAGCTCTCGATGTGTCGTGAAAACACTTATAGGGTTGCCTGTGGCTGCTAGCATCTCCAAACACAGACTCTAGGGTCTGACGGTGAGATGAGGTAACCAGCCTTCTTAAGGCGCATCAGCTCCTGTCGGTCAGTATTTTACGCCTACCTGGTCGTTTCTTAGGCTCATTATCACCTGTGGCCTTCCATTTATTCAGCATGTTACCAATTGTTGACCTAGGAATGTTTAATTCTTGTGCAATAGCACGTACAGACATTTTCCACAATAACACCCAACTCTCCTTCCGCTCTGAAACTATTGGCTCTTTCCGTGTACTCATTATTCAGGGTACAAGTTCAAAATGACTTCCGAGCGAACAGCTGATCACCTTTATAGGCCAAATTATTTGCACATTTCGTCGTCATACTCATTTTCTTGCAATCAGTAGTGTGGCCCATGACTTTTGGTAAGATAGTGTGTGTGTGTATATATATATATAACAGTCTAAAATCTGTCTGTCATAAGGGAAGTTCTTAAAGTTTCATTACAGTTGAGTCTCTTATTTAAAAAAAAAAGGTTTATTTACTGTTTAAGTCCACTTTTTTAAAGAAATGTTAGTAAGAGCTTTATATCACACCAAAATGAGAAATGTTATAAAATAGGCCATCGCTAAAATTAAAAAATAATAGGACCTTATAACATTTTTCCCTAAATCGCTTCCTTAATGGAGAAATGATACTTCTTTCCTTTTCAATAATGTACATTAATTTCATACATGAGTCTTTCTAGTGGAGAATCAGTGTGATGTTTCAGAAAAAAAGTAGAATTTTATGTTGGAAAATCCAAGCGTACGCTATGAATTGAATTGTTCTATGACTGAGGGAATGGCATATCCTTGGTTGGAGTTCGTTGCATACACATTTGTAAGAATTCTGTGATAACTCGATCTTAGTAAGTTACACAAGTATATTTTTACTTCAGTATGAGTATAAAGTGAAGAAAAACATCGAAAATCACGGTGACAAACGGAAAAGTGACTTAGCGCGGAGAAAGTCTGAAACTTTGAGAAAGAAAATGAAACGTCAGGATGTAGATAACAGAAAGATAGAGCAAGGAAGAGATAGGCTTGCTCACCAAGTTGTGAGGCAAGGTTCAGTGAGAAGTCGGGAGCAATTTCATGACAGAGAAGCGCAACGTTAAGCTCGCCAAGATCCTGACGGAACAGCTGCCGGTAAGACAGCGTTTCTGCTAGTTTCATATATAATATTTAATTTCTTTTTAAAGCGTGGTATAGCATATACTTCTTTGTTATCCTTTAAAGTAGTGTCCTTTAATAATCAAAATAAATAATGAAAGAAAATCTTTGTATCACTGTCAGTGTAATATATTCTTGTTCCCATATAACCCATTACCATCTAGCTGACACATATATGTCAATAAAGTGTCAAACACTTTGGATGGAGATATGGAAAAATCATACAATTTACATTACTACTAACTTTATAGCAATCGGTTCTTTCACATCCTGAAACATCTGTTAATTAGTTGTTCATGCAATGAGTTAAATCCTAAATTTAGCAACATATGGAAAACATGCAAATAGCTCTAAAATGACTAAGATAGTGGTGAGTTAAATTAGTGTCCTTTCCTACTGAAAAAAAATAATGAAAGAAATCTAGTGATCGTCGGTGTCCTAACATCCATTTCTTGGATTCTTCCTTCGTCCCTCTCCTGTACCTGCTTCTCAATCTGAACCTTGCCAGTATTTGGGTTTTTAGTTTGAAGTGAAGCACAAAGCTAAACAATGGGTTACCTGTGCTCTGCCCACTACGGGTATCGAAACTCGGTTTTAAGCGTTGTAAGTCCCCAGACATACCGCTGTGCTAATTGGGAGTGCCAACATTTGGTCTCCTTGTGTAAAGTGATCCTGAGTTCCAAAGATGGATAGCTGTTATTGGATCAAAGTCACTTATTGAAGGTGAGTGGAGCATGACCAGAAGTTAATCTGTGATTCTGTCAGCTCCCGGACAAGATCTCATATTGGTCTTGATCATCTTTGTCTTGCTCAATCCTCTCTCTGCTTCAACAGAGTTGGCTGGTACAGACAGCAGTAGGTCAAAGAAGCCACAAATGTTAGGTAGCTCCTCGCATTGTTATTCCTGTTTTAAAATTATTATTTTGTGTTCATTTAAAGTTATTATTTCATATTATGCAATTTTTTTACCGAGAAATTAAAAATACCCCCCAGACCACTTTATTCACAACATCAATCTTCTATTTGTAAGTATGCTTATAATCAGACTCTATTCTATCACAAAGCACAAAATATTATTCACCATAGAATAAAACCTCATCAGTTAAAAAAATGATGTTCCGCACATCGCGAAGCACTCCCATTTCTTTACGAACCTAGATTAGCAAATGGTCGATAACAGCAACCTATGCACAGAGCTAGTACACACTGTGTGTTTGCTGAAGATCTACATTTACTTGTTTCGTGAAGTTCAATGGATGATAGCCATGTGGCTCCACGTCAGTATTGCATTGTATTAGATCGTTTGGGGGAGGTCACCGAAGAGCGATTGGAAATTTGGAATGTCCCATTGCTTTCCAATAGATTTTTTGTCAATTGTTTGAATTGAGCATGTCATTATAAGT